TCAAGGTCAGACCTAAGTAGGTGTGAATTGGTGCTTCTGCGTCACTTACACTCGCTTCGCTCGAGCTACATGCCGCTGAAGGCCCCAATTCTCTCCATTACCTAAATTTTTAGTCTAATTCTCGATCCGCTTTTTTTATCTTTGCTCCATTTCTAATACCGTTTCATTTGGAATCTCAAATACAAATGGTTCAATAATATAACAACAAAATATGAAGACTAATCTATTTCATCGTTAAAAATGCAAGGTGGTACAAAAAACAGTTACTTTAATAATAAGTACTAATCGTTAACGGTCTTTTTTTTTCTTCTTCTCGAACACAAAGGTAGTTTAAATTAAAAGATGAAGTGTTTATTTACATATATTTTATTGGAAATCAAACAATCATTTTGTTTTCAAAACACCATTTCTTAATACATAAAACATTTTTTTAACGCACATATTTTCTTATGAGTAAAACAGTTATTCAGTAAAGTATCTTTACAATAAAGTTCACAAAGAGTATTTAAATTGGGAGCTCCTAAGCAATTTATATCTATGATAGTATTATTTTCATCACAAATATCTTGCACCCATTTAATTTTTTCACATCCTTCTTAAAAAAATCTTTTTATCTTTCAAATATGTCTTTATAATTCTGTGAAACTCTCTATAATCAACAAAGCCCTCACTCCATCGATACCCTCGGTGCTTTTCAATCCAGCCAATTTGTTTTTTTTTTCTTCAAGAGATAGTGAAGTGAATGGGTAATGAGGTTTAATTAGGAATATATTGGTGTACTCAAGAGTGGCTATAGCAAACTCCTTTACTATAAATTTATTTTTTGCTATTTTTGAAGCCTTGAAGATTGACGATTATTGTATTGCTATTCATGATATTTTCTTAACGATATTACTCAGTGGTTTGTATTCGAATATACAGTCATTTAATATCAAGCAATAAGCGGTTGTCTGATCTGGTATTTCTTGGTCTGTTTCGATTTAAAAACTCCTTTAAAAAAAGGTTTAAAGGAGTTCAGAGACATGACTACATTATTTGTAATTGATTGTTCAAGACAACACGAAACTTTAAAAGGTTCGATCGATGTGAGAGTTGAAATCGAAACAGACCAAGAAATACCAGATCAGACAACCGCTTATTGCTTGATATTAAATGACTGTATATTCGAATACAAACCACTGAGTAATATCGTTAAGAAAATATCATGAATAGCAATACAATAATCGTCAATCTTCAAGGCTTCAAAAATAGCAAAAAATAAATTTATAGTAAAGGAGTTTGCTATAGCCACTCTTGAGTACACCAATATATTCCTAATTAAACCTCATTACCCATTCACTTCACTATCTCTTGAAGAAAAAAAAAACAAATTGGCTGGATTGAAAAGCACCGAGGGTATCGATGGAGTGAGGGCTTTGTTGATTATAGAGAGTTTCACAGAATTATAAAGACATATTTGAAAGATAAAAAGATTTTTTTAAGAAGGATGTGAAAAAATTAAATGGGTGCAAGATATTTGTGATGAAAATAATACTATCATAGATATAAATTGCTTAGGAGCTCCCAATTTAAATACTCTTTGTGAACTTTATTGTAAAGATACTTTACTGAATAACTGTTTTACTCATAAGAAAATATGTGCGTTAAAAAAATGTTTTATGTATTAAGAAATGGTGTTTTGAAAACAAAATGATTGTTTGATTTCCAATAAAATATATGTAAATAAACACTTCATCTTTTAATTTAAACTACCTTTGTGTTCGAGAAGAAGAAAAAAAAAGACCGTTAACGATTAGTACTTATTATTAAAGTAACTGTTTTTTGTACCACCTTGCATTTTTAACGATGAAATAGATTAGTCTTCATATTTTGTTGTTATATTATTGAACCATTTGTATTTGAGATTCCGAATGAAACGGTATTAGAAATGGAGCAAAGATAAAAAAAGCGGATCGAGAATTAGACTAAAAATTTAGGTAATGGAGAGAATTGGGGCCTTCAGCGGCATGTAGCTCGAGCGAAGCGAGTGTAAGTGACGCAGAAGCACCAATTCACACCTACTTAGGTCTGACCTTGATCAAATTCATATGGGACTACACGAGAAGTATCAGCTTTCAAATAAAAAAAGAATCATTGAAATCGGTCACCCAGTAAAAAGTTATGAGGTAACACACATAAAAAAAACATACAGTCGAATTGAGTACCGTCTCCTTTTTGGAAGTCGGCAGATAAAACTATATTCTCTAACTGTACTATCTAAATGTACCTATTTTTAATGATTTAACATGCCTTGCAATTGAGAACGAAAGAAAATCATATCGTATATGGACCCGAAGTGGTGCGACGGCCTTAAGAATGAACAAAGTGCTTTCGAGAACTAATGACGTCCTCTCAGAAAAATCGGACGTCATGCAGCGATGGAGCGAATTTTATAGAGAAGTGTATGCGTGTGATGATCTTAGTGAGGGATCCGGGGATGACGCCGTGACTGGTACGCCAGACCCGGACCTCGATGACACTGAGGTCATCAGTATGAAAGAGATTGAACGTGCGATTCGAAGTTTGAAATGTGGTAAGGCTGCGGGACTAGACAGAGTTACTGCTGAAATGGTCAAGTATGGTGGGCCTCGCGTCTGGGACAGCTTTCATCTGTTGTGCAATTTGTGCTGGCGGACGGGGGATGTCCCGGATGATTGGCGATCCGCAGTCATTGTGCCTTTATATAAAGGTAAAGGTTCACATTTTGACTGCGGGTGCTATCGGGCGATCAGCTTGACCAGTTTAGCAAGTAAAGTTTACTCGAAGTTTTTGACACGTAGGATGCAAGAGAAATCGGAAAGATTTCTATGGGAGGCACAATGCGGATTTAGACCTGGAAGAGGATGCACGGATCAAATGTTTTCTCTCCGCATGATCACGGAGAAGCTTCTGGCTACTAACCAGAAGATTTTCTGTGCTTTTGTGGATCTTGAGAAAGCATTTGATAAGGTTGTAAGGAAGAAAATGTGGGAACTGTTGCCGGGGTATGGTGTGGATGGTCGATTGCTAAGGGCTGTGCAGTCTCTTTACTGTGACTGTAAAGCCTGTGTGCGGGTAGGGCATGACCTGTCACCCATGTTTAACGTCCAAACGGGCGTAAAGCAAGGTTGTGTCATGTCTTCCTGGCTGTTCATACTGTATCTCGACAGCTGTTTACAGAAGCTGAAAGATAGCTGTTTGGGTGTGAAATTGGGTGACATAAAAGTAAATTGTCTGCTGTACGCTGATGATGCAGTGCTTATTGCACCATCAGAGGCAGAACTGCAGGCATTAGTCACGTGTATGAAAGAGGAATGTGAAATTAAAGGTCTCCGTTTGAATGCTAATAAAACTAAGGTTCTGGTATTTGAAAGGGACGAAGAGAGAACGAAGTGTGAAATATGGGTAAATCAGGAATGTCTAGAACAGGTAAATGAAATTGTATACTTGGGGAGTGCTTTTAGCCGGGATGGAAGATGTGATTTAGATGTGGACAGGCGTGTCGCTGCCGGGAACAAAGTCAATGGTGCCCTGACTGCGTTAGTCAAAAGGCAAGGCGTAGCGAAGAGTGCACGCCTTGCAATACATAACGCAGTGTTGGTACCGACTTTGTTATATGGCAGCGAAACCTGGGTATGCCAGAAGAAGCATAAAAGTAAGTTGAATGCAGTGGAGATGCGATCTCTTCGTAAAATGTGTGGCGTTACCATGGCCGACCGAAAGCGAAACGAAGAGATTCGCAATATGGCAGGTTTGAAAGATGACCTTATCACAAAAATTGATAAGGGCGTGCTTCGGTGGTTTGGGCACGTTGAGCGAATGAGTGAAGACCGAATGGTGAAGAAAATATATAGCGCGAAAGTTAATATTAAAAGGTGTCGAGGTAGACCGAGACTAACTTTCGAAGACCATGTGAGCAAATTGCTCGAAGAGGGTAGGGTCAAGAGTACTCGGATACCTAGGCGTGCATGCATGAAGAAGATAATGAATCTGAAAGAAGCGAAAGAGGTTTGTAAGGATCGTGACACTTGGCGATCTGTTCTCTCTGGCTACCCCGTCAGGGATTGTGCGTGAAGATAAGTAAGTAAGTAAGTAAGTATTATTATTATTATGAATACAGATCAGTTTATTATAATAAAATATAGTTTTTTTTGGTTGTTAGATTTTGTTGGTTGTATGCTCAACGTTCTCTAAGATATGCAAAAGCAAACAATAAATACATGTCCTATTATGACAGCAAGGATAAAAACAATTTATTGATTTATCTTGATTGTGTAAATTTATAAGGTTTTGCTATGATGCAAAAGTTACCAACGGGGAACTTTAAATAAGTGAAAAAGAAATTAATCAATTTGATGTAATGAGTGTTCCTGATGATAGTGATATTGGGTATATTCTTGAAGTAGACTTGCACTATCCAATTGAAATACATTATGATCATTCAGATTTACCATTTGCAGCAGAAAAGTTTGCTCCGCAAGGAAGCAAACATAAAAAATTAATAGCTAGTTTGTACGATAAATGTAGATATGTTATTCATTATGAGCATTTAAAAGAATGTTTACGTCAGGGACTCATTTTGCTCAAAGTTTAAAGGATATTGTTATTTAGACAAAATGCATTTTAACACCATATATTTTATTAAATACAACACTTAGACAAAACGCTACTTCATACTTTGAAAGAGATTTTTTTTAAAACAAAATAATTCTATTTTTGGAAAGACAATAGAGAATAAACGAAAACAAGTCGATGTAAAATTGGTTAATGTATGGATAGATACAGCCAATAAGACTAATAAACTATGTGGAGCTGAAAAATATGTAAGTGCTCCTAATTTTAAAAATTTGTCAATAATTTTAGATTCGTTAGTAGCAATCCAGTTAGAACTAACAAAAGTTATCCTTGATCACCCAATTTACATTGGGTTTTCAATTCTGGATTTAGCTAAGAGTGATTTATATCATTTTCATTACTCTGTAATGAAACGCATGTATAAAAATTCACTGCAACTTTGTTATACTGATACTGATAGTCTGTTGTATCTAATAGATACAAATTGTTTTTATGAAGACAATATAAAATATTTTGATACAAGTAATTTCGAAAACAATCAGTATATGCCCAAAGTAAATTGTAAAATTCCAGGGTTTTTCAAAGACGAAATGGACAGTGATATAATAACTGAATTTGTTGGATTAAGAGCGAAATTATATTGTATTCATTCTAAAACAACCTCAATAAGAAAAGCTAAGGGTATTAAAAAATCTGTTACTCAAAATCTTAATATTGAAAAATATAAACGAGCGTTATGGTCTAATGAAGATTTTAGAAAGAGTATCGTAATTAGATCAAAGAATCATCAAATATTTACTCAAAAAGTTGATAAACTTGTACTTAATAGAGATGATGATAAAAGACAAATTATGGCAGATGGCTACAATACGTTACCGTGGGGACACTATAAAACTATATTTTAATAAATTTGAATGTAAAACTATGTAATGCTACTACTATGTAATATATAAGTAAGTGTAACATGTATTATCATGTTTATAACTTTATATTAATTTAAAATAAATAAATATTTAGTTTTAATAAATACATTCGTTGTAACAATAAATGTCTTTTTCTTTTTTCCTCTACACATTCGAAAAATAATGATACATATTAAAACAACAATAAAAATTCAATGTATAACTTTTATTATATTTTACAAGCTACATTAATTAAATTACTAGTTCTCACATAATTTTTCACCTATTTTTTTATAAGACAATTTGTAGCATCTAACACTTCATCATACATTGAATCCATCACAACATATTGAACACTTATATTAGCACTAAGATCATGGATGACATTTTCTTCTTGCTCATTAAGTTCGCAAATGCTGATTTTTATCAGACGATGACCTTGTTTATCTTTATCTCGGCGGATAATGTATGATGATGATGATGATGATTCTTGAGAACGGTTTCTCTTCCTGTAACATTTCTTTGATTTAGATTGTCGCTCTTCATTAATAGCTATTCTATTTGGTGGTAAATCGTGAAGCTGCTCCTTTCGGTTGTAATAATTTCGTGTAAATTTATCCACATCCTGTGCATAGTAACACGGATTAGTGATAGGATTAGAATCATTGTGTTCCTCAGTGTTGCCCATATTCTACAATTAACAAAAACAAGTATGAAGTCAAAAAAAAGGAAATGGCGGTTAAATTTCTAAATAGTAAAAAATAATTAAACTCACCAATGTAGATGATATTTGACGAGCGTTGTAATCAGCGCGCACTCGCTATGAGAATAAAACAATAATGAAACAATTGAGGCAGGGTGGGAGGCGCTCTTCAATCCAGGTAAGACACATCATTGTATTTAGTTAGCGGATGGTTGCAAATTAATTAATATCTTTATTGTAATGGATTTACGATGTTAGGTTTTCGGGTCTTAGGTTTTTTTTTTTCGTTACGGAATTTCTTGATTCGGTCGCCGCACTCAAAGCCCTCGATAAAAGCTATGCAATAGCTTAAAAACGTTTATTAGCACTAACCACAATGAAATTAGGCTAAACAACTTGTATTATTAGAAATTAATCATAAGATGCGGCAATACCATCAGTATCTCGCAAACGCTCTGAACATCATGCTCAATAACTCAACTGGAAGTGGAAGTACACTTGTTCCCGCAGGATAGAACTGTGAGTATGTAGACGTTAATTTGGTTAAACTAAAAATGTTGTACCTCTCTGGAGAGAATTGGGGTCTTCAGCGGCATGGCTCGAGCGAATGCGAGAGCAAAGTGACGAAGAAGCCCCAATTCACACCTACTGACCTAAAGTTATTGAGTTATTCTTATAACTTATATTGAAGTCGGCTGTACAACATTTTTAATTTTAAATTATGATATCTGTTAAAGAATGAATTTTAATATTCTAAATTATTTTATTGTGTTTATTACATACTAATATAATAATATATAATAAAATAACTGAATGACAAGCTCGTGGAAACTGTCCATGCGGTCGGAGCTAAGTTCCGCAAGACCCGCCGCAGAAGAACACAAAAACTCTCCGATCACACTCTTAATCTCATGGCTGTTAGACGGGAGATGAAGCTACATTCCTCAACAGACTTGACAGCATACAGGCATCTGAACAGACAGATCTCCAAATGCATGCGGCGGGACTTACGCAACTTCAATACAGCTTGTATTGAAGAAGCGATCGAGCGGAACCAAGGCTCCAAAGTCTTTGCCAGAGATCTGTCTGCCAGAAAGAGCCAACTGTCAAAACTGAAGACAGAATGTGGCAGCATCGTTTCCGGGACACCTGAGATTTTGAGTGAGATTGAGAGGTTCTATGGGCAGCTGCACACGTCATCGTTGGAGCCACACGCAAGTGTGAGTAACGATCCAAGAGCGAGTCTCATCCAACACTATTCCGAAGATATCCCGGACGTCAGTCTGAGCGAGATTAGAATGGCTCTCCAGCACCTTAAAAACGGTAAGGCCCCAGGCGAGGATGGAATTACAGCGGAGCTTCTGAAAGCGGGTGGAAGACCGGTACTTAAAGTCCTTCAGAAGCTCTTTAATTCCGTCCTCCATGGTGGCATTACACCGGAGGCGTGGAGCAGAAGTGCGGTGGTCTTGTTCCTCAAGAAAGGTGACAACGCTCTCTTGAAGAACTACAGACCGATTTCCCTTCTGAGCCGCGTCTACGTGCTGTTTTCGAGAGTCATTACGAATCGTCTCGCGCGCAGACTTGACGACTTCCAGCCTCCCGAACAAGCCGGTTTCCGAAAGGGCTTTAGCACCATAGACCACATACATACCCTTCGGCAAATTGTACAGAAGTCCGAAGAGTACAATTTGCCACTATGTCTGGCGTATGTGGACTATGAGAAAGCCTTTGATTCCGTCGAAATTCGGGCGGTGCTGCAGTCCCTTCAGCGGTGCCAAGTTGACTATCGGTATATCGAAGTGTTGAAGTGCTTGTACAGTACGGCTACGATGGCTATCCGAGTACAGAACCAGAGTACGAAACCTATCCAATTGCAGAGAGGTGTAAGACAGGGTGACGTCATATCCCCGAAACTCTTCACCGCTGCATTGGAAGACGTTTTCAAGCTTCTGGACTGGAAAGGATACGGTATCAATATCAATGGCGAGTACATCACTCACCTTCGATTTGCCGACGATATAGTCCTTATGGCAGAATCGCTGGAGGACCTAAGCACTATGCTCAATGACCTCAATAGTGTTTCCCAACGGATAGGTCTTAAGATGAACATGGACAAAACAAAGATCATGTTTAATGTCCATGTCACACCTATGCCGGTAGTTGTTGGGTGCACTAAGCTCGAAGTTGTTGATGAGTATGTTTACCTGGGACAAATAGTCCGACTAGGTAAGTCCAACTTCGACCGAGAGGTCAATCGACGGATTCAACTCGGCTGGGCAGCGTTCGGGAAACTACGACACATCTTCTCGTCAGACATACCTCAAAACCTTAAAACGAAATTGTACAACCAGTGCATATTGCCAGTGATGACTTACGGAACTGAGACGTGGTCCTTCACCGCTGGCCGTATGAGGAAGCTCAAGGTCGCTCAGCGAGCTATGGAGAGGGCTATGCTCGGAGTTTCTCTGCGTGATAAACTTAGGAATGAGGATATCCGCAGTAGAACCAGAGTAACTGACATAGCCCAACGGATTAGTAAGCTGAAGTGGCAGTGGGCCGGCCATATAGCTCGAAGAACCGACAACCGATGGGGAAGAAAGGTTCTCGAGTGGCAGCCTCGTACCGGTAGGCGAAGTGTAGGGCGTCCCCCCACGAGATGGAGTGACGACCTGGTAAGACATGCAGGAAGTCGATGGATGCAGGTGGCTCAGGACCGTGCTCTGTGGCATTCTTTGGGGGAGGCCTATGTTCAGCAGTGGACTTGTGAAGGGCTGTAATGATGATGAATGATAATGATGATTACATACTAGCTGTTCCCTGCGACTTCGTCCACGTGTTATTTGGGGTTTTAATTTTTTTGCGCGGAACCCTAATTTTTTTATTAAAATAAGAGTTCCCGTCCAAATCGGTCCAGCCGTTTCGGAGATTAGCCGGAACAAACAGACAGACATACGGACAGACAGACAGACAGACTGATAAAAACTTTAAAAATTATATTTTTGTTATTAGTGCCGTATATACTTTCATATGCATTTAGTAAAAAGCTGTAATTTTGACATTGCAAACAGACACTTCAATTTTATTTATTTGTATAGGTAACAAACACGACATTAGATTACGTTGGATTTATAGTGAGTTTCTTATATGAAATACCAGTGGGCTCCCTATATACCTGGTTACACGATATTCTCGCACATTTTGATCAACAAAACATAAGATTTTTCAAAAAACATGCATTTGTATGATGTTTGGAAAAGCTTACGAAAAATCAGCTACTAATGCAAACTCTGTTAATGGTTTCAGAGAAACGGCTGAGTTACTATTCTTAATATTAATAAATGCTGATTTTTACTCTAACATATAATTAAAATCAATAAAAGTATATTAATTAATTGTATTTTTGATTTAAATGAGCTCAAAAGTGGACTTGCCTAAAATGAGACATATTTCAAATTAGGAATCCGAAGTATCTTATATTAACATACCTTCATACTTGCATAGAAAAAGTGTATTATTTTGTTATATCACTTATATTACAGAATCGGTAAGCACTATTGCTAAAATATTTATAGTTTTGAAATATACATTAAATCTAATTTATTATCACCTAAATTTACCTTCATACCTGTGATATTAGAACACAATAAACAGTTAAAAGTGCCATAAGTAACCATAGAATACTCTTACTGATACTCCCGGTTGGCTATCGTTCTTTTATAAGACAATAGTTGCCGACCGACAGACATTTGATAGGTAGATCAATACCACTAAAAAAAATCGTTTTAATACTTGATAAGTTTATCTAGATGATATCGCAGACGTCAGTCTGAGCGAGATTAAAATGGCTCTTAAATGACTCCAGAATGGTGTTTTCAAGCTACTGGACTGGAAACGATATGGTATTAACATCAATTGCCGTGTAGTGGCGGTTAAGAATATCCACTACCCCATATCTTCCCGTGGGTGTCGTAAAAGGCGACAAAGGGAAACAGGCAGGAGATGGGCAGCAGCATCTTCCTGGTAACGGCAAAAATACAATAAAAAACTGCGGTTGCCAACCCGCTCGCCAAGCGTGGCAACTATGGCAATATACCCCCCATAATGAAAGTTACGAAGAGACGGCCCCCAGTCCCCGGCGGCCCCGCTAATCCTGGCTACGGTGGCGACCATGGTAACGGCGGGGCAGGGGGTGCTAAGAATCTCCGATGGAGGTTCGGTTGCCACCTACAACAACTCGACCTGGCAACATACAACGCACGCACCCTGAGGACTGACGAGAAGATTGTGGAGCTGGAAGAAG